GTTTCTCAGGCTGAGGAAAGCTGAGGTTCACCTCCACTGTCCGACTGGAGCTTCCGGGGAAGAGCTCTCCCCATCCACTCCTGGTTTATCAGAGAAAACAGCAAACCCTGCTCGCTAACCTGACCTAGATCTGTCAACTGATCAATTTCTTCCCCTTGGGGAAAAAATAAAATGGGGGAGGAAATCACAATATAGGTATTTTTAAGTGAAAACTGCAAGAAAAATACACAAAGTAGACATTTCTAATATCAAATGCATTCATCTCAGGTGTAAGTCAAAGGAAGATGGAAAAACGACACGCCAGGGTTATTGTGCTGGTCAAAATTCCTTGTGGAGAAAGGAGAAGAAGCTTTTGTGAAACACAAGGATATCCCAAAACTGCAGCCTCCAGAGCAGCAGTCCTGTGCAGAGGGATGGTCCCAAGGATGGTTCAGAAGTTCAGTCTTACCAGAGGAGGTTTTCTCCAAGCTCCCAGCTCCCACCTGATCCTCTGCTTATCAAAGTGATGTTTACCTCCTTTTGACCCATGAAGCTCATCCCAAATGTGGGAAAGAGAGAGCAGTTGGACACCAACCTGGACTTCCATAGAATCCCCAAATCTGACACCTTTTGCTCATTTTGGCCCAAAATTTGTAACCAGGAGCTCAACTCCAAGGCCAAGCTGCAGCTCCAAACCTTTGCCATGAACATCTGAGATGAATGATTATTTCCTCCTGTAGGTGGGCACAGGCACCTTGTTCACGTGTGCCTCATGGCCAATAAACAGCTGCAGGTCCTGAAATTTGTGTCAGCACTTACAGGACCTCACACATCTCCAGTCCACCAGTGGGGCTCCTAAACCTGGTGTAGCTACTACACAAACCTACTCCAGCACCTCCTCCCGTGCTCTAAGGTATACACACAATGGAGTTTCCATTTCATTTTGATTTTTCACCATTTTGATCTCCATCTGTTGTGGTGGAGATTGTCGCTATAGGACACGAGAATGCACAATGCGAGCCACTTGCCACTTTGCAATGTAAAAGAGAAAGTTTATTTTCTGACTCCAACTTCTATACTTTTCCAAAGGTGACAGTGGATTGGAGAGTGAATGGGCCACCTCTCCAAAGACATTGGACAAACCATTAGTACATCAAGTCTCTCCACCCCCATGAAGGAATGCAAAACAACACGTTATTTACAGAAACTGTGTGGGAAAGTTTCCCAATAGAATGTAAACTCAGAAGGCTTTAGAAAACTCAAGAATCCGGGCGACAGGAGATCTCTCTACAACCACGGCGTAGAGCAACTACAACAACTTTACTCCTCCTTGCATCCTGCCAATCCACCGCTGTGCAACCAGCTCAGCACAGGGATGCTCCCAGGGAAGCAGCAGCAATCCACACATGGAAAACCCCACCTGCAACTCCACCACCCAAGCCAAAATCCCAAATTTCCAGCATTTTGGGTGCCATCCAGCGTTTCGCACAGCGCAACTGCTTTCAAAAGGTCTTCTCAGGTTCCTGCTGATGCATCTTAAAAAGGTGCCAATGAATCCCACGTGGTGGCCTGATTTCCAGAGGTGCTGGCACCTCCTCAGCCCCGCGGAGAATCAGCAGCAATGACAGATGTTCAGCCACGCTCCAAACGCAGCCGTCGAGCAGGCGGAGTGCATTCCCCTCCCTTTATGTACTGCATATAACTGGGTTATCTAATCATGTAGGTATTGATTATTACTGTTATTACCTATTAAAAAGCTATTTTCTGCTGCTGGGGTGAATATCACGTTTTATTGACCTGCGTGATAATTATTAGCCACGTCTAATATTTTTCCCGAGGACCAATAAATCCGAGCATTCACAAAAAGATGTCGATAGACGTAATTTTTCTTATACACATTCATTAGTGCAATTACCTCCTGCAAGAGCTGCCAGGAGGTTTCCCCTCACCCCTCCACTGAGAGAAAATTCTCACAGGATTTTGGGGGTAGCATTTTTGGGGGTAGCATTTTTTGAGGATAACATTTTTCGAGGATAGCAGTTTTTCAGAGGCAGCATTTTTTGGGGATAGAATTTTTTGGGGATAGAATTTTTGGGGGATAGCATTTTGGGGGAATAGCATTTTTGGGGAATAGCATTTTTGGGGAATAGCATTTTTTTTTTGGGATAACATTTATTTGGGATAGCATTTTTGGAGGATAGAATTTTTGGGGATAGCAATTTTTGAGGATAGCATTTTTTGGGGATAGCAATTTTTGAGGATAGCATTTTTGGGGCTAGCATTTTTTGGGGCTAGCATTTTTTGGGGCTAGCATTTTTTGGGGCTAGCATTTTTTGGGGCTAGCATTTTTTGGAGGTAGCATTTATTTGGGATAGCATTTTTTGGGGATAGCATTTTTTGAGGATAGCATTTTTGGGGGATAGCATTTTTTGGGGCTAGCATTTTTTGGGGCTAGCATAGCCCCAACCCAGATTCCAAATCCTGCCCTTCCTAAGGGGAAGCACCCAGCCTCTCCTGCCTGCAGATGTGTCTCTGGGTCAGATCCAGCCTTTCCATCACACACCAGCACAGCCTGTCTCAGTTTGGGAATTATCTGCATCCCAGCCACATCGAACGAGCGAATAATTCTTTCGGATGAGGAACGCTCTGTGTAGGATGTTGACACATGCTATTATTTTACATACCTATTTCAGCTTGTATGCTTATTAGAATAAGGTCTTTATGCTAATTTGTAAATCAAATTCCCATAATTCTTGGCTTACTGATGCTAAAGGCCCAGCTAAATCTTCTATGACCTTTTAGCCTGGTTAATCCTTTTACGCGTGGCTGAATGAAGAGTTTTCTGGTCTCTCCCACTCCCGAGTGCTGGGGTGAGATTTTTGCCTCTTCCTTAAGAAATCCAGGTGGGCTGTGGGTCAGGGACATGGGGCACATGTGAGGACACCCCTACACTTTGAGCCAGGGAGAGTGGGAGAAGAAAATGCTGCTGCCTGGGCCCTGCGTGAGGATATTTTGGATTTTCATCACTGCTATTTAAAAATACCACAGAAGACACAGAGCAAACACAATGAGAGCTGTGTTGCCAAATTGCCACTCACTTCCCGACCCCCGGGGCTATCCCAGCCCTCTGCAACCTCCCCTCTTCCCATCTCCTTTCCCAATTTGTGGCCGGACATTTTCTGGCTCCATCCTCCTTGTGAGTGGATGCAATGGACACCTGCAGCTCCTTCCCAAGAGAATGCAGCATCCAAGAAATGCCCCAGCCTCTCTCTTCAGCACCAGCACCCAACAGCTCCCTTGGTGTCCAACCATGCTGGATATTTCAGGGCTCAGGGAGCTCCTTCCTGAGGGACACAACACTCAACAGCTCCCATTTTAGGGCCACAATTCCACAAATCCAACAAATTTACAATATTCCTGCAAAAGTGAATCTGCACGACTTGGAGGACCCACAGATGTTTGCACAAATGCAGGTGGTCAAATGTTTCTGAATTATTCCACTTCACGTTCCACTTTCCTTTCAAGCACACTCACAAACCGCTTTTCCTATTGTTTGTTTGGCTGGAAATAGGGAAAGGACCCAGAGGATGGATGAACTGCTGCAGAGGGCAGCACACATCTCCGGAGATATTTGGAGGAGGTTTGTGCAAAACACAGTTTTCTTGCATGACAATTATTTTCATGTTTTCAAACACAAGTCAGCTCCACTTCTGGACACTGAACAAAGGAAAAAACTTATACATTCCAAAAACCACTGTAATCACAGAAGAATTCATGAAGCAGAAGCACATTACTGCTGATTTTCAGCACTGCATACACACCTAAATATTACCTTGGTGTTGAATGAACCCAAATTTCTCAAAACTCTCTTTAAAAGTTTGCATTAAAATACAAAATTATTTGTAGGGTGTGTTTGAGGTTTTCTTTAATTGTGGCAAGCACATTTCTCTCCCTCTCAGGATTTTTCATAGAGGTGCACAGAGAGAAAAATCCTGAGAGGGAGAGAAATGTGCTTGCCACATCTTTAATGACTCTTAAATAAAAATATGCAAGAAAAAACTCCCAAGGGGACTCCCTCCCTCCAACAATGGAGCAACTCCCTGCCCAAAAAAGGCCCCAGCTTTTTGCTGTGAAGGCTGCCCTGGGCAATATTTCACCCAGCTGCCCTCAGCTCTGCCCTGGGCCCTCCCCAGACCATGGAGTAACTTGGGTCCCTGCCTTCCCTCACTCCAGGAGTGACTCAGGGACTTCTGGCACCCACATCAGATTCCTGAAAGGCAGGGAACTGGGGGATTTTGGGCTTAGGGAGTTAGCACATTCCTCCCCACTGCTCTGCTGCCCAGGAGAGTTATAAAAATAGTAAACAAAGAAATAAAAAACCAACTACTTTTTGATCTGGAAGCTTTGATAGGAGCAGGGAGAAGAAGCAGGAATGATGACCAGAGGCATGGAGTAAGACTGTAAGGAATCCGAGTAGTCAGGAGCCCCAAAGCGAGCATTAAAAAATAATAAAATAATGAAATAATAAAATAATAAAATAAATGAAGCGCAAATTCTGGGGAGGAGAAGCGAGGAGGGAAAGGTGCAGCTTCATCCCTCTCCTGGGAAGCCCTTCCCAGCCCAGGGGGGCTCCTGCAGAGGGGCAGCCGAGGGGGCCGGGGCTGGGAGCCCAGGGAAGCCCCCGGGATGCCGGGATGCCAGCGGCACACCGGGAGAAGGAGAGCGCAGCAAGGCGGAGAGGAGCGATGCTCCGGCGTGTGCTGTGCATGCTAAGCAGCCTGTGCCGGTCGATACGGCACGGGGGGTTCTCCCCCCGCAGGAGCGGGCCCGGCCTGCCCAGCTGAGAGAAGTTTGAGGTGGGAGACACCCAGTCACCATCCCTGCCCACACCGCAGCCCCCAGCCCCACACTCGCTGGGCTTCCCGAGCCCAGCCGAGTCCTGCTGCAGCGCGCCTCGGCACACGGGGGACGAGGCTGGGCTGCTTTGGACATCCCCAGCCTTCGGTGGGAGCAGCGCAGAGGTAGCTGGATCCGGCTGTGGAGAAGGAGGTGCATTCACCCCCGCCATCCTCTCCATCCTCGGGAGAACCCGCATCCCCCCCGAGGAACGCCTGCATCCCCCTGGGGTGCATCCGTCTCGCCCAGGAATACTCGCACCGCCCCGGGGGTGCATCCATGCTCCAAGGAGCGCCCGAGTCCCCTCCCGGGGCGCCTCCATCTCCCCGAGAAGTGCTCGCATCCCGCCCCGGAGCCCCGGTCCCAGCCGCCCCCCGCGCACGGCGCACCAGCATCCCCCTGGCGCATCCCCCGGCGCATCCCCCGGCGCATCCCCCGCGCATCCCCTGCGCATCCCGGGCTCCCGCGGCGGCCCGGGGCAGGATGCGGCTCCATCCTCTCCTCCCATGGAGGAAACCCCGCTCGCACAGCCCCTCCAGATGGCTGCGAGGAGCCTAACGCGAGCTGACAGGCTCGGCGCTCCCGGCCAGATGGGGCTGGCTCCTGCCGCCTCTCCCCCCGCTCCTTTTCCCATCGCTTTTTGCTCTTTTTTTTTTTTTTTTTTTTTTTTTTTTTTTTTTCCTCGCACAGCCCCCCGCTCCCCTCCAAGCGCCATCCCCCGGCTGGGGGGAGGCAGCCGTGCCGGTCCGGGACAGGCTGGACGAGCGCTTCCCAACTCCCAGCCCGGCGGGAGCGGGGCTGCACCGAGTTTTTCGGACGACCTTGCTGGAAAAGCAAAGGCGTGGGGGGAACACAGAGGAACCCCAGTCCTCCCCCACCCCGTGCCCCCCAGCCTGTTGGATCATTGATCCTGCCAGAATTGTGCCGGGATGGCAGAGTCCTTCCGCACCCGCAAGAATAATCAGGACGCCAGGGGAGAAGTGTCCCCCCCGCCGCCAGCCCGGTGCACCGGGAATTCCTGCGCCGCACCCGCATCCGCATCCCCCGCAACTTCACAGCGGGCTGGGGACCCTCTCCCAGCTCTGTCCCCGCTCTGGAGGGATCCTCATCCCCACTCTGGGGGGATTCTCATCCCCAGCCCCCTTGGAGGGCGCTGCTGTGGGACCGCGCATCCTCCGCCCGCCCGGGCTGCGTCCCCCGCGGCGTTCCCTACCTTGGGAGAGGAGGAGCGCGGCCATCCCGGCGAAGATCACCCAAGAGACGGGGTGGTGCATTTTGGCCTGGGCCATGTTTTCCTTCTCCTTCCCCACTCACTGCCGGGCGGGGAAAGGTTTAAAATCCAGCGTTTTCCCGGAGCAAAGCGCAGGAAGAGGGGCGGGGGGGGAAGGAAAAAGGAAAGGGAAAAAAAAAAAAAAAAGGGGAAAAAAGCACCGAAGGGTGGGGGAAGGGGAAAAAACCCAAAAGAAAAAAAAAAGGGGGGGGAAGGGGGTCGGAGGGGTTGCAGGTACGAGGACAGGCGCTGCGTGCCCGCCACTCCGGCCCGCACACGCCGCCCGGCTGCAACACGCCGCCGGCCGCGCACGCAGCCGCCCCCGCGCAGCACTCATTGGCTGCGGGGCCCCCCCGCGCCCGCACCCGCACCCTGCCGGCACCCGCACCCCCGGACCCCACCGGCAGAGACACCCCACTAACCCCACCGGCACCCGCACCCTCTAACCCCACCGGCAAAGACACCCCACTAACCCCACCGGCACCCGCACCCCTGAACCCCACCGGCAGAGACACCCCACTAACCTCACCGGCACCCGCACCCCCGAACCCCAACGGCAGAGACACCCCACTAACCCCACCGGCACCCGCACCCCCGAACCCCAACGGCAGAGACACCCCACTAACCCCACCGGCACCCGCACCCCCGGACCCCGCCGGCAAAGACACCCCACTAACCCCATCGGCACCCGCACCCCCGAACTCTGCTGGCAAAGACACCCCGGGCACCCCATCGGCACCCGCACCCCCTAACCCCACCGGCAAAGACACCCCACTAACCCCACTGGCAAAGACACCCCACTAATCCCACCGGCACCTGCACCCCCGGACCCTGCCGGCAAAGACACCCCACCAACCCCACCGGCACCTGCACCCTGAACCCCACCGGCAAAGACACCCCCGAACCCCATGGCAGCTACACCCCACTAACCCCACCAGCAAAGACACCCTGAGCACCCCACTGGCACCTAACTGCCACCTAACTAACCACCTAACCCTAACCCCACCAGCAAAGACACCCCACTAACCCCACCGGCACCCGCACCCCTGAACCCGACCAGCACCTGCACCCCCCCCTTCCACCAGCAAAAACACCCCGAGCACCCCATCAGCACCCGCACCCCACTAACCCCACCTGCACCCCCTAACCCCACTGGCAAAGACACCCCGAACACCCCACAGGCACTACACCCCACTAACCCCACTGGCAAAGACACCCCGAACACCCCACAGGCACTACACCCCACTAACCCCACCAGCATCTTCACCCCCAACATCTGCACCCCCAAACCCCATCAGCTCCCGGACCCCCAGCACCCGCAGTCCCCAACTTCCCCCCGGCACCCACACCCCCAAACTGCCCCCCCCCGGGCCTCTGCAGCCCCCTAACCCCACCAGGATCTGCACCCCCCACCTGGCACCCCCCATCCCTCAGCACCCACATCCCCCTCACTGTTGGCAGCTGCAGCCCCCAGACTTCCTCCTGGCATCTGCACCCCCTCCCTGTGGATCTGCATCCCCCCAACTCCAGCATCCAGCACCCACACCCCCTGGGCATCCGCATCCCCCAAAATTCCCCTGGCATCCGCACGCCCCCCACATTTCCCCTTTAGCGTTCACACCCCTGCTCCATCACCTGCACATCCCCAGAGCACCCTTGCAACCCCCCAAATCTCTTCCCCTCTGGGAAAGGGGGTGAATCCCTCCTGGAGCAGCTGCAGCGGTGCTGTGACTCAGTTTCCCCACCCGCACGATGGTGGGGGGGATCCACGCCCACACTCCTGTGTCCCACCTGCCTGGCCCAGAAGGAAGAGGGGCACCTGCTCCTGGGGGGCTGAGCCCTGCAGGACAGCCCCAACAAGCCCCTTCCCCTCAGGCACCTAAACCCGCATGGAAATGGCTCTAAGAGCAAAGTTAATAAGGAAAACCTCTCCAGTTTGGAGCAGAAACCTCCTCTTAGTCCAGATCAAGGGGGTTTTCCATGCTGTAACCACACTCCTCTGATTGCTCACACCAAGCCCACCTCCTGCTCTGAGCAGCATCTGAGCCCCTTGGGCCCAGTTTGGGATTGAACACACTCCTGTCACTTCAGCTCTTTGCCCATGCCAACTACTGGTGCCTATTTCACAACACCAAAAATAAAATAGACTTTTCTCCAGTTCGGGATTCCCAAACCAAGCATCTACTCACACCACAGCCCAGCATCAAGAGCATGACGCCCACATGCCCACACAGAAAAGGTCCTTGAAACAAAAGCCTTAAATTATTCCACCCTTTGTCCAATAAAAAGAATATCTGAGGCTCAGAAACCCCAGAGACCCCTTTAAAACAACCTAAATAAAAACTATCATATTAAATATTATTTTCATAAATGATAAGGATGTCTCATTTGATTGCTCGAGGTGACTCACATCCCCTTCAAACAGCATTATAGCCAGAAAAAAAATGACAAAGAGGAAAAAAAATTAAAGATATTCTGGCTTTTTGTATTTATGCCTCCTCAGAGGCTTCCAAAAATCTGAGCTTTGCAATTCAGAAGAAGACTTGGCTGCAAACTGTTGGAAATCCAGCTGTGTTTCTCTCTCCATCACCCAGGGACTCTCTGAGTCAGATCCAGGCCAGTCGTTGTGCTGCAGGAAGGTGACAAAGCACAGGTCCCTCTGCTCCAGCCCCATCCGCAGATCTGACAGCGATTCTGATGTCAAACGTTGGGAGGATTGGCAGCTCGGGCAGGGCTGTTTGATGCCTGCACGTCCCTGCCACCAGCCAGCAAAGGGTGACACTGCCCCAGCCACAGACAAGATGCATTTCACCATCCTTGGGTGCTCCCCAACACCTCCACTGCTGTGATCCACCAGTTTCCACGGGGGCTTGCCAAAATGTGGCTGCAGCGCGCTCTTAGCTCTCCTTCCTTTCCCCTCCCAAGGCTGTGTTCAAGCCACACACCTCGAGGAGATGCAATGGATCCAGGGCTCTCCACCACCACTTCCTCCACCACACCCTGCCAGGGCCTCCCCCACCTCCCAGCTCATTAGGGCAGGAAGAGCTAATGAGCACAGTAGCACTAATGACCCAGTGGTGCAGCAGGACACTTCTCCAGAAGCAAATACAGGGAATGGAGGATTTAATCTCGTTGTGATGCCAGGGTTTGGAGTGTTCCTCCAGCACAAACCCACTGCCCCAACGACCACCAGCTAATGGAAAACTCCTGGAGAGGGGGAAAGATTCCTAACATCATCCCATCTCAACCTCTCCACGGCTTCCCCACCATTCCACCAGCACAAATTGCCCACAATGAGATGCCACACAGCAATTTTCACCACCCTTGGCAGCACTGCTTTGACCCCAGCTTGCCAAGCCAGTGACTGCGCTTGGAGCAGCTGGAAGTGGTCCATTAGGTTGGTTTGGTTTATTACCAACACATTATGCTTTAAAAAACACAACTTCCCTGCCTATTTGCCTAAGCAGGGAGAGCAGTTTCTAAGTCAGCCCTACGCAGTCGCTGCTCTTCCTACAGATTTGCTCCATGCATTATTAATCCACACAGCGCTCGTTCTGAGCACAGATATTTACCCGATGCACCAGAACAGCTCTTAAGGAGCCTTTGGCTTGTGGCTTTGTGGAACATCAACTTTTCATGTTGAGCAGCAGGTGATGTTCAACAGAATGCCTTGCAATAAATGCCTAATATCTCCATTACACTCCTCCATATCTGTGTGCTGGGCTGATAGGAACATGCAGATAGCAGGGCTGCACTCCTGAGATAGGGATGGGGGAACAAGTTATTCATTGGAAATCATATATAAATATATATTTGTGCCTGGTGTTAACCAGGGACACCATCCCTCCATGCATATCGAGATGCAGGAGGCTCCTCTTGGCAGAAATTCCTGCAAAATTTCTATGCCATTCAATTTTTTTCTG